CATTCCCACCAACAGTGTAAGAGGGTTCCCTTTTCTCCACACCCTCTCCAGGATTTATTGCTTGTAAACTTTTGGATAGAAGCCATCCTGACTGGCGTGTAATGGTACCTCATTGTGGTTTTGATTTGCATTTCTCTGATAATGAATGATGTTGAGCATCTTTTCATGTGTTTGTTAGCCATCTGTATGTCTTCTGTGGAGCAATGTCTGTTTAGATCTTTGGCCCATTTTTTGATTGGGTCATTTAGTTTTCTGGAATTGAGCTGCAGGAGTTGCTTGTATATTTTTGAGATTAATCCTTTGTCTGTTTCTCCATTTGCTATTATTTTCTCCCATTCCGAAGGCTGTCTTTTCACCTTGCTTATAGTTTCCTTTGTTGTGCAAAAGCTTTTAAGTTTCATTAGGTCCCATTTGTTTATTTTTGCTTTTATTTCCAATATCCTGGGAGGTGGGTCATAGAGGGTCTTGCTGTGATTTATGTCGGAGAGCATTTTGCCCATGTTCTCCTCTAGGAGTTTTATAGTTTCTGGTCTTACATTTAGATCTTTAATCCATTTTGAATTTATTTTTATGTATGGTGTTAGAAAGTGTTCTAGTTTCATTCTTTTACAAGTGGTTGACCAGTTTTCCCAGCACCACTTGTTAAAGAGGTTGTCTTTTTTCCATTGTATATTCTTGCGTCCTTTGTCGAAGATAAGGTGTCCACAGGTACGTGGATTTATATCTGGGCTATTTTGTTCCATTGATCTATATTTCTGTCTTTGTGCCAGTACCATACTGCCTTGATGACTGTGGTTGTAGTAGAGCCTGAAGTTCACGCAGGTTGATTCCTCCAGTTCCATTCTTCTTTTTCAAGATTGCTTTGGCTATTCAAGGTTTTTTGTATTTCCATACAAATTGTGAAATTATTTGTTCTAGTTCTGTGAAGAATACTGTTGGTAGCTTGATAGGGACTGCACTGAATCTATAGATTTCTTTGGGTAGCATACTCATTTTCACAATATTGATTCTTCCAATCCATGAACGCGGTATATTTCTCCATCTATTTGTGTCCTCTTTGATTTCTTTCATCAGTGTTTTATAGTTTTCTATGTATAGGTCTTTTGTTTCTTTAGGTAGATATACTCCTAAGTATTATTTTATTTTTTTTCAATGGTGAATGGTATTGTTTCCTTAATTTCTCTTTCTGTTTTCTCATTTTTAGTGTATAGGAATGTAAAGGTTTTCTATGTAGAGGATCATGTCATCTGCAAACAGTGAGAGTTTCACTTCTTTTTTTTCTATCTGGATTCCTTTTATTTCCTTTTCTGCTCTGATTGCTGTGGCCAAAACTTCCAAAACTATGTTGAATAGTAGTGGTGAGAGTGGGCACCCTTGTCTTGTTCCTGATTTTAGGGGAAATGCTTTCAATTTTTCACCATTGAGGATAATGTTTGCTGTGGGTTTGTCATATATAGCTTTTATTATGTTGAGGTATGTTCCTTCTATTCCTGCTTTTTTATCATAAATGGACATTGAATTTTGTCAAAGGCTTTTTCAACTTACCACAACAGAGGTGCAGAATCCAGCAAATGGCTTGAGAGGAAGACTGTATGTGTGTTTTTTGTATATAAAAAGAACACAGGAAAGACCTGTGGCCAGTGATCTGGAGGGCTTCCCTAGTGGCACTAGTGGTAAAGAATCTGCCTGCCAATGCATGAGACACTAGAGACTCACATTCGATCCCTGGGTGAGGATGATACCCTGGAGGAGGGCATGGCAACCCACTGCAGTATTCTTGCCTGGAGAATCCTATGGACAGAAGAGCCTGGAGGCTTACAGTCCATGGGGCTGCAAACAGTAAGACACGACTGAGTGACTAAACTACCACCACTTGGATGTCTACTGGACATTGCCAGCTGCAATATCAATCATAGACTTCCTTCTCAAGACTGCTCTGCCTGCAGCTTTCCCAGGTATGGACATTTCACCCTTCTACCTTTGGCCCTGTAGGTCTACATCACAAGAGCCACCTTTGACTTCTCTCATTCTCTAATACACCATATCCCATCTGTCAGGAAGTGCGATTAAGTCCACCACTGGAATTCAATCACTCCTCATCCCCATTACTACCACCCTGGCCCAAATTACTATCACCTTCTCTCTTACTTGGATTAAAGCAATAAGCCTCCCAACAAGTCTATCTATTTCCATTCTTGCTCCTCCTATGAAAGTCAAAGTCGCTCAGTCACGTCCGACTCTTTATGACCCTGTGGACTATACAGTCCACGGAATTCTCCCAGCCAAAATACTGGAGTCAGTAGCCTTTCCCTTTCCCAGGGGATCTTCCCAACCCAGGGATCGAACCCAGGTCTCTGGCATTGCAGGCGGATTCTTTACCAACTGAGCTATCAGGGAAATGTTCCTCCTATAGTGTACCCTCAACACAGTGGTTAGGGCAATCGTTTAAGACAGGGATCAGCAGCAAACTTTCTCTAGAAAGCCAAAGAATAAACATTTAGCCTATATGGGCCAAGAGGTAAAAATCGAGGCTGTTACATATGTACTTATATAAAAGAAAAAACATGCTTTTATTGACAAAATTCAAAATATAACAGTAATAACTGAGTACATTTTAAAACAAGCTCTACTGATGAGAAAATGAAAAACAAAAAATTTTTAAAGGACCCCATTTTGCTAAAATGGAGCTCAAAGTCAATGTCTCCCATCATCAGATTGACTGCAAATGTTTATCTGTAAAAACCATTCTTAGCTGAAGGCCACACAAAAACAGGTAGTGGGATGGATTTACCCTGTGGGATGTTGTTTGCTGATACCTGTTTTAAAATATAATCAGATCATATCACTCTCATCTCAAAACTCCATGAATAGTTTTCTATTGTTGTGTAACAATTACCACAAATTCAGCAGGTTAAAACAATACCCATTTATTATTCTCAGTTCTGTAAGTCCAGGCGGGCTTACCTGGGCTCTCTGCTTAGGGTCTTAAGAGGCTGAAATCAAGGTGAGCTCTTCTACAGAAGGTCTGGGAAAGAATCTGTGCCTAACTCATTCAGGCCATTGACAGAAACCAGTGCCTTGCAATTGTGCGTCTGAAGTTCCCATTTCCTTGCTGGCTGTTAGCCAGGAAGTACTCTGGGCTTCTAGAAGCTGCCTGCATTCCTTGTCTTGTGGCTTCATCTTCAAAGCCAGCCAAAGGGCATTCAAATCTTATGCTCTGAAGCTCTCTGATTTCCCTTTCTGCTACCAGCTGGGACAAACTCTCTGCTTTTAAAGGTCTTGCTTGATTAAGGTTATGCCCACCCGGTAATTATATCTCAAAGTCAGCTGGCTTGGGACTTGCATTACATATACCAAATCCCTTCCCAGCAGTGTTTAGGTTAATGTTAGATTAAATAACCAGGGGACAAGAATGGCGGGGGTGAGGGGTATCTTTAGAATTGTGCCTACCACATGCTGCAATAACTTCCTATTCAGAGTGAAAAGATAAGGCACTAACAAAGGGCCCACCCGATTTGTGCCACCTGCTCCCAACTCCCATGCATGTCCCCTTACTTCTCTGACGGTATTTCCTACCACTTTCCCTCTGGCTTACTCTGTTTATTCACTACTACATGTTCACCCAACTTGCTGTTTTTTAAACCATGACAGATACTCGCCCGCCTTAGCCTCTCTGCCCAGAATTCTCTTCTATCATATATCTACTTTGTTAACTCCTATATGGCCAAGACTCTGCTCCACTTTTGCTCTTTCAAGAGGCACATCTGATGATACCATTTAATACTACAACCTGTACTCTCATTCCTAGCACTGGCTATTGCCTCCATGCCATTCAATATTCCTTATTTCAACTGCGCTTATCACTTTTAACATATTATATACATTATTATGCTTATTTCTGTCCCTCTTTGGTAGTAAGGATCTTTGTCTACTTTTTAAAATTCATTTATCTATTTTTGGCTGAGCTGGGTCTTCATTGCTACGTGGGCTTTTTCTCTACTCGAGGTAGGTGGACTTCTCATTGCAACAGCCTGTCTTGGTGCAGAGCACAGGTTAAGTGAGCTTCAGAAGTTTCGGCACACAGGCTCAGCAGTTGTGGCTCCCAGGCTCTTGAGCACAGGCTCAACAGTCACAGCGCATGGGCTTAGCTGCTCCATTAGCATGTGGACTCTTCCTGACCCAGGGATGGAACCTGTGTCTCCTGCATTGGCAGGCAGATTCTTTACCACTGAGACACCAGGGAAGCCCCTTTGTCTATTTTTTTTTAAATGATGTACTTTTGGTTTACTAAGCACCTAGCACAGTAGCTGGCATGAACAGATGTTGAATAATAATTCACTGAACGAGGTTCTGGGAAATTGTTTCAGTTTCTTATACACATGTGGGTACTAGGTCGTGAGGTACAATATATTTCTTATCTGACAGTGTAGTCAAGAGTGTTTGAAAACTACTTAGCTTAGACTATATCACCTCCATGGTTCTTTCCAAATAGCAGGATTTTTTAATTTCTATGTGCAGCCACTGAATCTGCACTGTATCCTTTGGGATATGGCAAGGTGTACAGCCTAGTGACTACTGCAAGGCATGACTACTGAGACATAATAACTGACACTGACAAAGCTAACAAGCATCCATCCACCTGCCAATGCAGGAGACTCAAGAGACACAGGTTCAATCCCTGGTCAGGAAGATCCCCTGGAGAAGGGAATGGCAACCTGCTTCAGTATGCTCACCTGTAAAATCCAACGGACAGAGGAGCCTGGTGGGCTACAGTCCAAGGGGTTGCAGAGAGTCTGACATGACTGAGCACACACATACCTGTTCTATTGATATAACAGGTTAGGAAGAACTGTGGAAATAGCAAGAACTGTTGAATGCCCCCAAAGAGAAAAATCTGCACTTAACTCTTCCATCAGAAAGAGATATAATCGGAGAGGAAATCATAAAAGAGAACACTTTCCAGATCAAAACTTCCCTGACTGAAGCTTTCATTCACTTACTGAAGAAGCGGAGATGAGTGAAGAAAGAGATCGTTCAAAGTCTTTGCTGTAGAAATGGTGACCTGAATGGACTTGGGGAGCAAAGACCACTTCTGAAGTATGTATGATTTCCACTCATCCACGGGCAGATCCATGCTACTTTAGATCTAAAAAATGAATAAGAAAACAAGGAATTCAGTTTTCTACAAATGCATAGTTACAGAAAATCAAGATTTCATTCAAGCAAGCATGAAGCAACAAAATCAAATCTTGTAGTCTCTTCCTACAGTCGCTTACATGCCAAGGAAGGATGTATCGTCTCTCGCACCAATTCACTCAACATCCCTTCATTCAGAAATATTTACTCAAAACTGACTTTGTTCCTGGCATCGTACTAGGGAACGGTTATACAATGATGAATCAGATTTCTTACACAGTTGAGTTTTTTCTTTCCAATCCCGAGGTCACTCCTTTAGTTCAAACCCTCACCATTTCCTGTCTGGCATTCTTTCTCCAGTGTCATAATTAGTCTTCGGGCCCTCATACTCCCCCTCCCATTTCCCCCTTCCCAATTTAGTCCATCCTCCATACTGAGACCGAGGTCAGTTCTCTGCCTTGAATTCATTGATGCTCCTCCTAGAACTTAGGGAAGCCCAGTACAAACCCTTTATTATTTGACCCCTGGCTCACTTTCTGATCGTGTCTCGCTTTTCCTCTACACCCTACTATCCGAATTTCCACACATCCTTCAAGACTCAGTTCAAATGGTTCCTACTCCGGGAAGCTTTCCCTGATTTTGCCACCTGTGACGACAGGAGCACACTATGCGTCTCTCCTGGGGCCCAAACCACGTCTACACTGAGTTAAGGCTACTCACAGCAGAAACTCCCTCGACATACTGTGCTCCCCTCTGGGAGTAGGGACCAGGTCTTATTTACCTTGAGAGACCCCCACTGTGCCAAGCTCAGGGTCTGGCACCTGCGGGAGCTCAGCTCGGGATTGCTGAAAGAAGCAAGTCACTGCTTTGACTTCCTTCAGCAGCAGAATTATCAGGAAACCCCTCGAACACTCCTCTGGGCTAGCAGTCTGTGTCTGCCCGCCAAAGGCCGAGTGCTGTACGTTTCCTAGAGCCCGCAGGGAAAGATCCCGGAACGCCTCCTCCCAGCGCCCTTGGCTCCTCCCGCGTCACGCTTCGCGCGCCCCGCGGCTCGTCGCCCCGCCCCCAGGCCCCCGCCATCCCGCGAAGAGGCCCGGGACCCGGACTCCGGTGGGTCACGTGAGCCGCGTGCCGCGCCTCAGCCAATGCGGTGGCTGCTCGGCCCTCAGACCGCCCCGTGCGGTGCGCACGTCTGGAGGCGGGGGCGGTTCACGCAGCTCCCCCGGCCAATCGCCTTGGAGCGCGCGGGTCCCCGGGAGTAAAGCCAGGCTTGCGTGGGGGGGAGCCGGAGCGCGGGAGTTGTTGCGGCGGAACCATGGTGGGCCACCTGAGCGAAGGGGCCATTGCGGTGAGGCGACGCCTGCGAGCTGGGCGTGGTGCGGGGCGGCTGTGGGCCCTGGGGCCGTGCGGGTGGAGAAGGGGGAGAGAACACAGGAGCCGGAGTGATAGCGGGGGCTGGGGAGCGACCACCGGATGACTCCCTAGAATCATCAGTTAACGCATTTTTATCGTCATCTTTTTAAACATGCTCGTTTTTCCTGCTTAAGGAGTTGAAACAAAGTAAACGGTTGATTTTCGCCCATCTCTGTCCTGCAGCCACTCTTTCTTCTCCCCTTACCCCATCCCCAGCGAAACTTTCTCCAAGAGTTGTCGGTTTTCAGTTCTTTTCCTCGCCTCGCATTCCCCTGTAACCGACTCGAATTAGTCACTCCCTTCCCTGATCACTGTAACCCTGGCTGAAGTCAGCAGTGCCTCCTGGGGCTGTTAAATCCAACAGACACTTTTCGAGATCTAAATTTATCAGTTCTCAGCAGCGTTTGACGATTGGGCATCGCTTTCTTCCGGAAGAATTCTCTTCTTTTGGTTTCTATGGCTCATCTTGGCTTGTCTCTCCCCGTCTTACTTGCAGATCCTTCTGTAAATTTTTGTTGACTCAAGGCTCAACCATAGGCCCTCTTCTTCCAAGACAGTCAAGTTACTGTCTCTATGTCAGTTGCTCACAAGTTTCTTTTTGTCCAGGGCCAACTTGACTCGGAAAGACAAACCTCTATCATCTGTGTACTTGATATCTCAAAAACATTTTAAATTCAACATGTCACAAACCAAATCTAATATCTTCCTAAATTTGGATCTCTGCTGTCCCCTGTCTGGATGCAAGGCACCATTATTCATTAAGTTATGCCAGCCAGAAATTGTGGAATCGTTTTTCCTATAAACTGTCACCCTGGCTATCCAGTCCGTACCTAAGTTTGGTCTGTTATACCATCACATATGTCTCTTAAACCCAGCTACTTCTCTCCAGGCACACTGGCACCATTATTTGTGCCTGGCCTTCTCCCTTTTACCCAGCATAATCTTCCTCCTGCCATTCCCAGCATAGCATATTCCTACCTGTTCTTTCCTTTTTTCCAGACTTTTTTTAACATAAATTGTAAATTCCTGGTATATTTCATACTCCTGCCTTCCACAGGGGCTTTGAACATTCTTAAACCACTGCCTGGGTGGTTCTTTTATTATTATTATTAAATTTTTTATTTTTTATTGGAGTGTAGCCAATTAACAACGGATTGTTCTTCATTCTTGTTGACTAACATAATCTCCACTCAGTTACAAAGAACTCTTCCTTGACTCACTTTGCCAGGCTTAAGTCCTTTTATTTTCAGACCCTAATTCCTGTTTGTTCACCTGTTATCTGTGATTTCAGGCAAAATATTAAACTCTGCCTTTCCTCTTCTGTCACAGGCTTGTCATACCTAGTACATGTTGCCTCTGGTTAGTGGAAGGATTAAATGAGCTGTTAATTTAAAGTGCTTAGTTCATGTCTGATATATAATAAATGTTCATTACTTGTTACCTATTATTAACAGTCACAGGTTTGATTTTACATGAAATATTGTTCACTTCATTAATGTCAGTTTCTTTCTGCCTCGCCCCCACTGGACTGTAAATGCTCTGAAGCCTGAAATCTTGTCTTTTTTTTTTTTTTTTTGCCAAACAGTCTCCCCGATTCCTGGAGCAGTGCTGGCCAGTATGAGGTGCCCAATAAATGTTTACTAATTGTGTATGTGGAGAGGGAAATGGCAACCCACTCCAATATTCTTGCCTGGAGAATCCTGTTGACAGCGGAGCCTGGTGGGCTGTTATCCATGGGTTTGCACAAAGTAGGATATGACTGAAGCAACTTAGCATGCATGCATGCATTGGAGAAGGAAATGGCAACCCACTCCAGTATTCTTGCCTGGAGAGTCCCAGGAACAGAGGAGCCTGGTGGGCTGCCGTCAGTGGGTTGCACAGAGTCGGACACGACTGAAGTGACTTAGCAGCAGCAGCAGCAATTGCTTATGAGGTAGTGAAAAGAAAGGGACAGGTGGATGAAGAGATACAGTTGGCAAAGTGGAGTGAATTTTTTTTTTTTCATTTATTTTTATTAGTTGGAGGCCAATTACTTTACAATATTGTAGTGGTTTTTGCCGTACATTGACATGAATCAGCCATGGATTTACATGTGTTCCCCGTTGGAGTGAATATTTTAATAAATTAAAAATAATTAACCTTGAGAAGTGATTGCAGATTGTAGTCCTTGTTTCCTTTATAGCTGCAACCCTGCGTCTTTAAGACAGATTAGGAATTGTTCTTTACTTTTAAAAACAGTGACTAAGGTATCATTTAAATAATTTGCCGAGTTTGTTTTTGTCACGTTCAAAAATTTTGAAACATTTACAGTGTTAGCTGTAATATTACTTAGGTCTTGTTCATAAATGACAACGAAAATTTATGTGTGTATTTCGGTAGAGAACCTTTGTCAAATTTCTCATCTAAAGCAAGTAATATTTTAGTTGAAAAGACATAGACCCCCAAGGGCAAGCAACTAACACGCACAAATAGTAGGGACATTTTCAGCAAGAGCTAATAAGAGCTTATTCATGGAACTGTTGTGGTAAATAGAATAAATAGTATTTTTATCTTAAGTAACTAGGTAATAGAGGAAGGGAACTAATATTTTTGACCATTTCCAATGTGCCAGATACTTCATTATAGTGAGTACTTAAAATAACCCTGTAAGGTAGATTTTTATCTTTAACCCCATCTTACAGACGAAGAAATTAAAATGCAGAGAAGTAGTTTGTGGACCAGCTGAGGATTGGAACACAGACTTTTGAGCATTACATTCTGTTGCTTTGCATTTTTTTTCCTTCCAGTTTTACTGAGATGTAATTCAAATACTGCACTGTTTAAGGTGTACAGCATAATGATCTGACTTATGAAACCATTGCCACAGTCAGTTTGGTGAACATCTGTCACTTTACACACACACACACAAAAGAAAAAATAGTATTTTTTTCCTTGATAAGAACTCTTAGGATTTACTCTCTTACTAACTTTCATATGTAACATTGTTAATTATATTAATCCTGTTGTGCATTATATGGAGCCTGGTACTTATCTCAAAACTGGAAGTTGGTAACTTTTGAATAGATTTTCCTCCTCCCTCCACTTCCTGCCTCTGGTGACCACAAATCTGATCTCTTTTTTTTCTATGAGTTTGTTCATTTGCTTGTTTGTTTTTGAAGTGTAATTGGCCTGCAGTACAGGGTTAGTTCCTGGTGCACACCATAGTGATTTGATATTTCTGTACATTGCAAAATGATCACCATCGTTGCTTTGTATTTTTACTAGCAGTGGTAATTTGGAAAATTTAAGTCAGTTCTGCCTTAAGTGTATATGTCATGTTATATGTCCCAGAAGAGTGAGTTTTAATCACTATTTATTGATGGCACAAATAAAAAGGGTAATAAAGAAATACATGCGTTTGATTTTAGACTCAGATAGAACAGAAAGGTGCTTGATGAAATTACTGACCTGCCCCCCCTTCCCCCAATTCTGTTCCCCAGAAATGGCTACTTAAAAAAATTCAGGAGAAGGAAATGGCAACCCACTCCAGTGTTCTTGCCTGGAGAATCCCAGGGATGGGGGAGCCTGGTGGGCTGCTGTCTGTGGATTCACACAGTCAGACATGATTGAAGCGACTTAGCAGCAGCAGCAGGTTCATCTACTTCACTAGAACTGACTCAAATGTGTTCCTTCTTATGGCTGAATAACATTCCGTTTTTTATATGTACCACAGCTTCTTTATCCGTTCGTCTGTCATCTAGGTTGCTTCCATGTCCTAGCTATTGTAAATAGTAGCAGGACTACTTTTATCTGGCTTATCATCTGGACTCCTACTTTATATTTCAGTGAAAAAGGGATTCTACCTTTAAATAAAATTTGAAGTTATTTTAAAAAAAAAATCAGACTTCCTTGGCAGTCCAGTGGTTATAGTTCTGTATTTCCAGTGCAATGCAAGGAAAAATCTAAGGTCTAAGGTCCCACATGCTGTGGGCCATGGTCAAAACAAAGATCACATTTACTGAAGTTTAATTAGATTTACATAAAATAGAAATTATATTGCATATGGTTTGCACACTATCAGTTTGTAATACATCAAACTGTATGCAGTAGTATATCAAGCCATATACAGTTTGATGAATTTGGACAATTCAAAAAGTATAAAAGGACGCAGTGCAAGTTAAGCCTCCAACTTGTGTCCCCCATCACCCAGTTCTTCTCACAAGAGGCAACTAGTGGTATACAAACATTTTCTGGAGCCTGCATGATATTCTGTTTTAAGGGTTTTGCTATATTTATTTGTCTGATTCCCAATTAATGGGCAGTGTATGGAAATAAATGTGCTGTTATGAATAATGAGTACATATGTGATGCCAGTATTTTATGAATACATACATGAAGTAAATGTATATTGTTGGTAAGTATGAATCCCACTTTTATGATTTGTCCAGAGTGATAAAGAACTTAAAGTGGATTCTCAAATGGTAAGCTTTGAAAAGGGTCTTTAATAATGTTATCTGTGGTTTATTCCAGATACCAAACTAAAAATATGTAAAGTTTTAATCATGATTTGAATACCTGTCTCACAAGAATCCTTTTTTACTTTTTCAGGCCATCATGCAGCAGGGAGATACATCTATAAAACCCATCCTCCAAGTCATTGTGAGTACCTGCATACTTTTGTCAAACATTTTTGAACTTATATATAATTATAAATTACATTTCATAGAGGATATACAGTCCACTTTAGGAAATTTGTCAGCTCTAAATTCTCTTCATCATCAAGAAATTAGTCCAGTCCATGTTGTAACTCTTGAGAGAGAAACCGGGCTTTATTTTTATGTTAGTCAGAGTTTGACCTCTGGAGATTCCAATTTGAGGCTCTGCCTTTCTGTTTTTTCCATAATTGGTGGATACTATATTGCTACCCATTTTTATTTAAGAAAAGTATCATTTCTGTTTTTGCTACAACATGGTTGTTATTCCCACTTCATAGATGAGAAAACTGAGGCTCAGAGAGGAAGTGACTTGTTCCAGTTTATATAGCAGGAAGCAGTGGAACCCTGATTTGTACCCAGGTGGTCTGACTCCATAGCCTACCCGCTGAACCCCTACTCTTGATTATCTCATCTTAGGAACAGCTTTCTAACCCACGTTCATTGTGTCATCATTCTGTTATTCATAAATGTTGCCTTTGCATCTATCATTTTCTAGCGTTCTAGATAAACGATTAGAATCTTATAACAAGAACACCTGCTACCTGTGAGCATCTGGAGATTATAGGATTCCTATAAACCCTTCAAAGTCAGTAGAGCCCAGAGTGAAATAATCTTTACATAATATAGAATGTGGGCTTTCCTGGTGGCTCAGCAGCAAAGAACCTGCCTGCCAATGCAGGAGACTTGGGTTCAATCCCTTGGTTGGGAAGATCCCTTGGAGAAGGAAATGGCAACCAGCTCCAGTATTCTTGCCTGGGAAACCCCATGGACAGAGGAACCTGGCGGACTAGTCTGGTTACAAAAGAGTCAAGCCTGACTTAGCAACTAAACAACAACAACAACAACAGCACATCATTACTTCTGCCTCCTTGGTTGTTCTGCCCTGGGGTTTGTCTTGCTCAGACCTGCCTCATATCTGGCCTCTGGAGCTCTCTGCCCAAAAAGAACTTGTCTGCTTAAAATTCTTCATTAACCCTATCAGTCACTTAAGGAGTTTGCAAATTTTGCTGAGGATTTTAAAAATCAATAGGAGCAGAATTCTGGACCATGCTTGCAGATTCTGAGTCAATAGGCCCGATGGTTTGTCTCCCTGTTGCTCCCAAACTCATTGCCAGTCTTCTTAAGGCTGTTTTCGTATTTCATTTTCTTCACAAACCTGCCTCTGATTTTCTTCAAGCTGAAATAAATGTCTTGGCTCTGCTCCCATGTCATTATGTGCACACCTCTGCTGTTCTCTGCCTCCATCTTCACCCCAGTTGTAAGCCTCTTCAGGGGAAGGAATTCCTGCCCCCCCACCCCGTTTTGTATTTTTATCATGTTTCCTACATAGTACCTTACACATATTAGGTGACTTGTTGTATGTTTTTTATTTTTTAATTAAATTTTCAATCAAATTTGAGTTAGGAGAGAGAGAACACAAGAGTATTGGCAATTTATTTTGTTTTTATCTATGTTGTGTTTAATAATGTTAGTAAAGAGAGGTTGGTGGGAGAATCATCAAGTCCAATTTTCTTTTGCTTGGATTTAGGTGTTGAGAGAGTGGGCACACAGCTCTGTTTCTTTGGGACTAATGGCAAAGCCATTCTCCTGCCACTTAGGTTTACTTATCCCTGGGGACTGGGCAGACAACCTGGCTAATGAATCGTGTTTTCTCTCCTAGAACATCCGTCCCATTACTACAGGGAATAGTCCACCCCGTTATCGACTGCTTATGAGTGATGGACTGAATACTCTATCTTGTACGTATGATGTATAAATCTAGGAGTTTGTATTTTAATAATGAAAGCACAGCCAACACCCTGATTGCAGTAATTGGAACATTCTAGAAGTCTACATTTGCTTGGCTATGTCTTCAGTCAGACAGAATTGCAGTTGGCAGAGAGCATTCTAACAATAGACTAGGTCTAGTGGAAAGCTGCCACTTGGCTTAATTAATTTTCTCTAAGTGGTGCTCTGTGCTTTCTTTGATTAATTTCCCTTAGGATGAGATTGACATTTAGTGGATATGATGGGTTAGCTGTCCTACACTTGTCTTTTTGGGGTTTTATTTCTGCATTGGAAGCTTTATGGGGAGAAAGAGAATTTGCAGAATATATACTTACTATCTCTAGTCACAAGGTGAAGGACCTAGAAGAGATTTTTTTTTTTAGTCTTTGTCATGAAACCTGAATGATTGAAAAGATGATTTGGGGCACTTCAAGAAATACTTAATTTCATCGAAGCAGCAGGTGTTAAATGCACAGCAAATTGTTACTGTTTTCTACCGTATAGAGTCTGAGTAGTTTAATTTCAGGAATGTCTTTTAAGGCATTGTTTTTTCTTTTGCTGGTACAAGTATGATCAGCTTTTAGAGTGTCATGACTGAAACGTCTTAGAGACTAAAGTAATCTCTGTGCTTTTCAGCTTTCATGTTGGCAACACAGCTGAATCCTCTTGTGGAGGAGGAGCGATTATCCAGCAACTGTATTTGCCAAATTAACCGATTTATTGTGAACACGCTGAAAGATGGAAGGTATGTGGTGTCTTGGGTTTTTTTTAGTATTTATTTATTTGGCTTCATCGGGTCTCAGTTGCAACACGCAGGATCTGTCATTGGGGTGCTCAGACTCTTCAGTTGTCGTGAGCAGGCTTAGTTGCTCTGTGGTGGAATCTTAGTTCCCCAAGTAGGAGTGGAACCTGTGTGTCCAGGACCACCAGGGAAATCCCTGTGGTTTGTTTTTTTTCTGTTGTATTGTGTTGTAAAATGGGGGCTAATTTTTGAACATAGAAGTTTATTGGATACCAGAATTCAATTAGGAATCAAAGAGGCAGTGGTGAGCTGTCAGCCAAGAGTTCAGAGCTATTGAGTTCTGAACTCAGGCGACTGAAAATGGGACACCAATAGGACAGAAATATGGAACCAAACTGGAAATTTCAGAGCAGGAAATGAAAACCGAATGTAGAACTCATGTTTCTAATTTCTTCAGCAGCACTGATTCTAGGATTCTCTCTTTAAGTGTCTTTTAATGAAAAAAGGGTCACTTTTTAGGGCAAAAGAAGATGTGATTCATTCTGTAACACTGCCCCTTTTCTGCAGCCTCGAATCTTTCATAGTAAACACTCTCTTCAGCCAACAGAGAGTACTGTAGAGTACCTACATGGTGCTCCACGCTAGAGACAGTGGTGAGCAGAACTGTTAGTCACACCTGAGTAACCATTGCTGAGATATTTTTTTTGGTGGCATGCAGAGTCATACTTGCCAAATCTAGGGCAGTTTAAAAATCAAAACTGTGTTTCCTGGCAATCTAGTGGTTGATGCTTCGTGCTTTCACTGCCATGGTTCCAGGTTCAGTCTCTGATTGGGGAACTAGGATCCTTCATACTGTACGGTGTGGCCAAAAAACTTTTTTAAAAAAGCCGAAGTAAATAAAAATAGTAGCATTACAACTTATTGATTAAAGTAGGAATTCATAAGTCCATACTGAATAAATGAGTACATGAGGGGGAACAGAAAGTTTTTCTTAGGATGGAATGCCATCTAAAAATATAGATAGATTGACAGAATTAGAAAATCACCATTCAGCGACCATCATATATGCAAGAAACATTTAATAGGTGCTGTGTAAGTTTCCTGTGGCTGCTCTAGCAAAATACCACACGTTTGATGGTTTAAAACAAAGAAATTATTTCTGGAATAATTTCTGGAAGTCCGGAGTTGACGTCAGTTTCACTGGGCAGAGAGCATGGTGTTGGCTGGGCTAGACACCTCCTAGGAGCTCTATGGGAGAATCCATTCTTTGCCTCTTCCAGCTTCTGGTGGTAAATAGCATTCCTTGGCTTGTGGCTGCATCACACCAGTCTCTCCTTCCATGGTCACATTACCCCTTCTCTCTGTACCAATTCTGGCTCTACCTCCTCCTTTTTTTTTTTTTCCTTTTGACTGCACAGTATGGTTTGTAGAATCTTAGTTGACCAGTCAGGGATCGATTTTGTGCCCCCTCCAGTGGAAGTGTGGAGTCCTAACTCTGGACCACCAGGGAACTCCATCTTCCCTCTTCTTAGAAGAATATATGTAGTTGCCTTTAGTGCCCATCAGATAATCTGGTATAAAATCACCACTTCAGTCCTTAATTAAATCACACCTGCAGAGTCCCTTTTTGTGGTAGAAGGTTCCAGGCGTTAGGATGTGGACGTATTTTGGTCAAGGGTGTTCATTCAGTTATCCACAGATGCTGAAACAGGTGGTGAAATTTTGATGAGGAACAAGTTATTTTTAGGGTTAAAGTATATCCCCACGCCCCACACAGCATAATTATTAGTTGTAAAAGGAAAAGAAGCAATTTACAGCGGTGAAAACTGGCAGATGGCACCTTATTCCAGTTGTTGACATTAACATTACAAGTAATGGGACAAAGAGAAGTCAGTGTGTTGCCTGACTGGATGCAGTGAGAACATAGTGTCAATTCAGTTCAGTTCAGACACTCAGTCGTGTCTGACTCTGCGACACCATGGACTGCAGCATGCCAGGCCTCCCTTTCCACCACCAATTCCCGGAGTTTACTCAGTCTCATGTCCATTGAGTCGGTGATGCCATCCAACCATCTCCTCTGTTGTCCCCTTCTCCTCCCACCTTCAATCTTTCCCAGCATCAGGGTCTTTTCAAATGAGTCAGTTCTTCACATCAGGTGGCCAAAGTATTGGAGTTTCAGCTTTAGCATCAGTCCTTCCAATGAATATTCAGGACTGATCTCCTCTAGGATGGACTGGTTGGATCTCCTTGCAGTCCAAGGGACTCTCAAGAGTCTTCTCCAACACCACAGTTCAAAAGCAGCTATTCTTCAGCACTCAGCTTTCTTTATAGTCCAACTCTCACATCCATACATGACTACTGGAAAAACCAAAGTTTTGACTAGATGGACCTTTGTTGGCAAAGTAATGTCTCTGCTTTTTAATATGCTGTCTAGGTTGGTCATAACTTTTCTTCCAAGGAGTGTCTTTGAATTTCATGGCTGCAGTCAGCACCTGGAGTGGTTTTGGAGCCCAAAAACATAAAGTCTGTCACTGTTCCCATTGTTTCCCCATCTATTTGCCATGAAGTGATGGGGCCGGATGCCATGATCTTAGTTTTCTGAATGTTGAACTTTAAACCAACTTTTTCACTCTCCTCTTTACCTTTCATCAAAAGGCTAGTTAGTTCTTCTTTGTTTTCTGCCATAAGGGTGGTGTCATCTGCATATCGGAGAAGGCAATGGCAACACACTCCAGTACTCTTGCCTGGAGAATCCCATGGACGGAGAAGCCTGGTAGGCTACAGTCCATGGGGTCGCTAAGAGTCGGACATGACTGAGCGACTTCACTTTCACTTTTCACTTTCATGCATTGGAGAAGGAAATGGCAACCCACTCCAGTATTCTTGCCTGGAGAATCCCAGGGATGGGGGAGCCTGGTGGGTTGTCTATGGGGTCGCACAGAGTTGGACACGACTGACGTGACTTAGCAGCAGCAGCAGCATCTGCATATCTGAGGTTATTGATATTTCTCCTGGTAATCTTAATTCCAGCTTGGGCTTCCTCCAGCCCAGCGTTTCTCAGGATGTACTCTGCACATAAGTTAAATAAGCAGGGTGACAATGTACAGCCTTGACGTACTCCTTTCCCTATTTGGAACCAGTCTGTTGTTCCATGTCCAGTTCTAACTGTTGCTTCCTGACCTGCATACAGATTTCTCAAGAGGCAGGTCAGGTGGTCTGGTATTCCCCTCGCTTTCAGAATTTTCCACAGTTTATTGTGATCCACACAGTCAAAGGCTTTGGCATAGTCAATAAAGCAGAAATAGATGTTTTTCTGGAACTCTCTTGCTTTTTTGATGATCCAGCAGATGTTGGCAATTTGATCTCTGGTTCCTCTGCCTTTTCTAAAACCAGCTTGAACATCTGGAAGTTCATGGTTCACGTATTGTTGAAGCCTGACTTGCAGAATTTTGAGCATTACTTTGCTAGCGTGTGAGATGAATGCAGGTGTGGTCGTTTGAGTATTCTTTGGGATTGGAATGAAAACTGACCTTTTCCAGTCCTGTTATATTATTGCCAAAGATAATCTGTATCCAGTCACGAGGAAGCCTAGGGTAAATTGATAGACATTTTATAAAGTAACTGATTTTCAAATTTCAAGCATTGAAGAAGTCTAAAGAGATACGGTAGTTAAATATAACACGTGATCCTGGATCCTTTTGCTATTAAGGGCATCATTAAGACATTTTATGAAACGTGAATGAATTCTGTAGATTAGATAGAAGAATTCTTTGGTTTTCAAGTTCAATAACTTAACCAGGTCATGTCTCAGTGTCAGTTGTTCCTCTTTTTTTCTTTCCTGGTACATGGTGTATGCTCTTTCAGTCTGCAGTCAGTTCTTTTTGATGAAATTTTTCCATTGTTCTTCCTTAATGACCTTTTCTGTTTCATTTGCGCTCCGGTTTTCACTTACGTTGTAGATAACTTTGTTCTCCATATATGTCTTCAGATTGCTCCAGTCTTTTTTTTCTAAGGCATGCCTTGGCTTAAGATTTTCTGACACATTACATAGTTTGGTCTCTGTTAGATATTGCTTCTGTTCTCTCTTGTCCCTTAACTTTTTTTAAAGGTATATATACACACACACACACACACATGCATATAATCTTACTTATTTTCTCGGTTGTGCTGGGTCTCGGTGCTGTGCGAGCTTTTCTCTAGTTGTGGAGAGCAGGGGCTACTCTCTGCTTGTGCTCGGGCTTCTCATTGCGTCGCCTTCTCTTGTTCTGGAGCGTGGGCTCTGGGGCACTCGGGCTTCTGATGTTGGGGCACGTGGCCTCAGTAGTTGCTGCTCCTGGGCTTCAGAGCACAAGCTCAGTAGTTATGGTGCTGAGACTTAGTTGCTCTGAACGTGGACTCTTTCCCCATCAGGGATCAAACCCGTGTCTCCTGCGTTGGCAGGCAGATTCTTTACCGCTGAGCCACCACGGAAGTCCTCCCTTAACTTTGCAAGCCCTCTTTGCTTCTCAGTCTCTTGTTTCTTCTCATCTTTTGACTTTTACTGAATTCTTGGTCTTATTTTGCAAGCCACACTTGGAAAGTATTCCCTTTCTTGGCTTATGCTTTTTTCTGGATTGGCTTCTTAATTGTCTCTGCCTCCTCTGTTCCTGTTATTTTTATGTACTGTTGTGTGTTACATTGCTACTGTGTTATTTCTTTGTGTGTGTGTGTGTGTTATTTCTTTTTTATCTTATGCCTGCCAATGCAGGAGACATAAGAGACTCAGGTTCAGTCCCTGTCAGGAAGATCCCCTGGAGGAGGGCATAGCAACCCACTTCAGGGTTCTTGCCTGGTGAATCCTCATGGACAGAGGAGCCTGGTGGGCTGCAGTCAACAGGGTTGCAAAGAATCAACACGACTGAAGCAGCTTAGCGCACACACACACACACACACACACACATGCTTAACGTGGACAGCTCTGTCCAGACTTCATTTGCTCTGACATAGTCTAGGCTAGGTCCATC